AGACTTGATTACACACAGGTGGATTCTATTTATCATCATTAGTCATTTAGGTCAACATTGGATCATTCAGAGATCCTCACTGAACTTCTGGAGAGAGTTTGCTGCACTGAAAGTAAAGGGGCTGAATAATTTTGCACGCCCAATTTTTCAGTTTTTTATTTGTTAAAAAAGTTTGAAATATCCAATAAATTTCATTCCACTTCATGATTGTGTCCCACTTGTTGTTGATTCTTCACAAAAAATTACAGTTTTATATCTTTATGTTTGAAGCCTGAAATGTGGCAAAAGGTCGCAAAGTTCAAGGGGGCCGAATACTTTCGCAAGGCACTGTATTAAACACCTTTCACTTTAAAAAGGGGCGGAGACCCGGAGGAAACTGAGTTTCCCGAACAAAACCTGCTCCCCAGCAGGTTAGGTTCACAGAGTAAGTTGCCATAGTAACTGACTCTGAGTTTAGATTACCTCTCTTTGTGAAACGGGTTTAACTTACCCCGCTTTCACGGGTTTAAGTTACTTCCGTTTCTGAAACCGAAAACTCCGAGTTTCCCTCATTTCGGGGTTAACAAACTCTGAGTTTCGACAAAACCACCTTCTTGAAATAGGCCCCTGGCTGACCTAGATTTTGGCTAACAGGGAGGATGCTCTGTTTACAGATGACTTTACGCTAGCTTCTCTAGCTAACCAGCTAGCGTTAGCCGTAGAGCGACGAGTTCATTTCATTAAGGTATTATTCAAAAGTGGTGCAAGACACATGAACGATATGCATGTTAAAATTTATCTTATACATTTGTAGTATTCGTGGGTCCTTCAAACCTCTCAGTCAAACCACACTTTTTTCAACAATCATAAACCGGTACTGTTAGCTAACTCCCCAGTCTTAGCTTAGCCTAACGGAAGTCAAGACTATCAGTGGGTTAGCTAGCTGGCAGAATGTCGGAAAAAACATAGGCTAATATATCAGTGTTGTAAATAAAACATACTGATAAAAAACTATAACTCCGCTCTTCGTATATATGTTACATTCTTACCTAGCGATTGGTTTAAAATCTATCCAAATGATCTCCAGGTAAGGCTTTGTTGGCCTCCGTCGTTTCACTCGGACTCCGCTGCTGCTTCTGGAGGATTAACAGGAGGGAAGTGACTGGCTGGGGGTGGGGAGAGGATAACAATACAGTACTATACCAACGTTAACAATTACACCTCACACATGCAATACATTTAGCACTACCAACAGTCCAATCCTATTCAAATATAATCAGAAATATTTAAATAACCATGAAGAAAAGAAGCAAATCCTCCTATTTTAGATGCTGAAACATTAATATAAGCATACTTGCAGGGAGAAATGACTTAAACAATTATCAAGATAGTTATTTATACATTTTCTCAGTCTTGTAGATTAACAAATCATTTCTGCTTTACTTGTACATACTGTTGGGTAGTTTAATTTACAACAAAGCATCATATTTTATAAGCACTACATATGTTTTGCATGCACGACAGTAAATGTGTATGTAATGTAACTACAGCTGTGAAGAAAGTACAATATTTCCTTCTGAAATGTAGTGAAAAATACTCAAGTAATGTATTAAAAACCTCAGATTTGCATTCAAGTACTACTGTATCATTGGGGGAATGTAACTCACTATATTTTAACTTGTCATAGAGCACAGGTGTTACTAATAACTGTGGCTTCTAAGTCTTGACAGTGTGACAGGAAGCTAGCATGAATAATACCAGGAATGAACGTAAAGCAGTTTAACAGAATTCATCCATCATTAATATATTTAATTATACCTCTGCTTTTCCTTCTATGCTGTGCTTTCAAAACATCTTCTGTGAAAAGGCTAAAATTAATTAGGTCTTAAAATAGATTTTAACACAAAGCCTAAAGACGTAAAGCAGGACTCACCTTCATCTTGCAATTCATGTGCATGTTCTTATACTTCCAATACAACACAGTATGATGTACTTTAGTGTTACAAACCAGTTTAAATGCTGTGAACCGGTGGATTGCCAGGCCCCTATGGGTCTGGGTCCCCAGAGGGCAGTTGCCAACTATGACTGTTATGTAATCCATCCATATGATGTACTTGTACTTTAATATTCATATTTTATGGTTCTTTTTATGTATCCACAACACTTCAGAGGGAAATATTGTGCTTTTACTCTGATCTGAGAACTTCTCCAACACTGCACATCTACACGAGAGAGACCACAATCTTGTAAATTACTTACTGTATACACAGTTGGTCGAAACATAGAAGCTTCATGACTGTAATAGAGATGGTAATAATTTAAATGAAATGGATCATTTCACACTGATATATTGAGGCAAAGACAGACAGGGAGCAGCCGTCTGGTTTCAGTTGGTGCAGCAGTGTATTAATAACTGCAGCTTTTACTCTAATCCTGATAAGAGGCTTTCTCAGAGGCTCAACTCCACCTCATGGAAACCGACTCAGGCGTATTTCCATGAAAACAGCAACACTAATACAGTACCTCATATTCATCTGTGCATTTACGAGACCAGTCATTCAACAGCATAAAGGGAAAAAAAGCACTTCAAAAAGATAAAACATTTCTGAGGTTAACTTCTCTGAAATCCACAGGCGTGTATCATCTTCTGAGAAAAAACTGTGTGTAAACAGACATCCATTAACAGCTGACAGCAGTTTTCCGCAACCAGCCTTTGAGGTCCACTGGCAACGCTTAAGAGGGTGTGTTTTACATCTTCATATGGAAGATATCTGATTTTAGAAGATGATACTGTACATAAAATAAGTATGACATATGCACAATACTCGGTCTATTTGATCTCTTAAAATGGATTGATGTCAGCCTCCAGTCTGCATGTCATGTAGTGTCAGCCTGATCTCTATCTGTCCACACTCATATTGGTAAAACATCTCTCATCAATGTACCTTCAGATATTAAAATGATACTGTGATTGGATTTGATCACTTCCGATAAAAACCCAGACTTGCAAAATGAAGAAAGTCACTACAGTGACACTGAGCAGTGAACAAAGCTGTTAGCTCACTGTTACCTTAGCCATGGGTTCATCAGGTTCACTGATTTCATGAAGAGTGAGTCAACATACCTCTTTACAACAGAAAGTTCTGGCACAACTTCACCCACTGTCAAGGTGCACAGATTAAAAAAAAACTAACTGGAAAAAAAAGTCCAGCAACAATTGTAGTATTTTGAGCAACTTTAAAAAAAAAAGACCAACTTGTTTCGGCATAAAGCCTTCGACAGGGTCTGCCAAAGGCACACAACAATTGAGCTCTAGAAATAACACAAATATTAAAAAAAAAAAAACTCTGACGAAGGCTTTATGCCGAAACATGTTGGTCTTATTAATAAAGTTGC